TACAGTATGCATGTGTGTGTGTGTGTGTGTGTGTGTGTGTGTGTGTGCGTGTGTGCGTGCGTGCGTGCGTGCGTGCGTGCGTGCGTGCGTGCGTGCGTGCGTGCGTGCGTGCGTGCGTGCGTGCGTGGACGTTGGAGAGACGGCCCTGGGCTGCTCTATGATGTACTTAGTGTTTGATTGGCAACAAATACAATACGATAAAACTGGTGTTCCTGAATATCTTTCTGCATTACTGAATTCTTACAAAAAAGTAAAGCTCAGAAATAATATAAAATGGTGTAAAAGCCTAATAATATTTGTATGCGTGGATAACGTGCAATACATATGAAAAAAGGACAAATAAATGCTCACAGCTCCTTCATGTTTACTCCCCAAGGAATTTGACATAGCGCTACTCACAGTACAGTACACAACCCCAGGTCTCACACACACACACACACACACACACGCACACACACACACACACACACACACACACACACACACACACACACACACACACACACACACACACACACACACACACACACACACACACACACACACACACACACACACACAGGCTTAAATGCATTTTAAGCCATAATTGAGTTGGAAATATTAACAATTAAGCTTGAATCCGAATCCGGCTGTATGGTTTACACACTATAGCATGCAATCTCTAGCACGCACACACTGACCATAATCACAGCCATCATTTGCTCAATCATGGCAGACATTCCTCAGTATGGCTTGGCCCTATATTGTGCTCATTTTCAGGTTCAAATTTGTATTGTGTGCTTCTACTGTAATGTTCAAAAAGTGCTTTAGGCAGGGGGGAGTGTGTGATTTTGGATGTTAGCCTTTGCAGACAATTAACATGCTAAAAAACCTATATAACCTGAAACATCATAATAGGGCAACTTTCATTTATAAGGAGTCCAGTGTCACTAACAAAACTGAATGTAACATGTAATGAATGTTGGTAGAAGGGGCGTAGTCTGGGCCATGGAATAACCCAATTACATTTTGGAGCAGATCCAAATCACAAGGCAGATACACATTATCTTTCACTTACTCAAATGGCCTTGATCAAGGTGCCTAGACTGCCCTATTGTCCTTGAAGCTTGTTATGCGGTCATCTTGGTTGCTTAAGTGTCTTGTAAGCCCATGCTAGCCACCGATAAATCAATGTTTGGTTGTTCTTTAAAGCTTTAAAAAAAACAGCCAATATCTGGACTCCTTGAGAAACATCCTGCTGCTGCACAGAAGAAAAAGAAGCAATGTGTGTTCAATCAATAGTAGAACAAAAGGGAGGAAAGGAATGCTTACAAGATGCAGCAAACCCAACTGGAGCAGTGTGAACAACAAGGGAAGAGAGTCCACCGAAATATAAACCAGCTCTGAGTGACACTTCAAAACCCCTAAATCCATCTCAGCTGTGCAACATGAAGCTTGCAGAGCGAGGAGGACTGCCAGACATCGATCTCCTTCAACAAGAAGGACACCATATTAACTAAGGGGCGGCCATCTCTTATTCATACACTGCTCATTACTTATCAGCGCCCTCTCACTCCTGTGCTCTGATGGGATTTTCACGGTCCATTTATGGGACAGGGTGTTTGAGGGGAAGATGGAGGAAGGGCGGGTTGAAGACGGGGTAAATGAGGGGGATGGGGAGAGTAAATAAGAGGCAGGGATGGAGAGGTAGAGGGAGGCAGACGTATAGAGAAGGTGGAAGACAAGAGGGCGAAACGTGTAAATGACTGGAAAAACAGAAGGGACTGAGAGATTAGTCCAAATGACCCACTTAGCAGGAGACGGACGAAAATGGCTTTTAATTTACACTTGGAAGTCTGGGTGTGATAATCATGATGGCCGTATGAAATGCTGTTTTAAACACAGGAAGTGTTCTAATTAAAGAGGTCCTATAATGCCTTTGGGGTTGTCCCTTTCCTGTAGTGTGTTTGATATGTTTGTGTGCATGTAAATGGTCTGCAAAGGTTCAAATCCCTGTGTTCCCTCCAGACGGAGTTTCTCTCCCACACACTGCCTGAAACGCCTCCATTGGACTCCTTTGTTTTCTTCCAGGACAGAGTGACATCACTTCGTAACACTCGCGCTTCAATAGGCAACACATTTGACGTGATAGGCTTAGGGGTTGGTTATCTGTAAGTGGTCAACGAATCACAACAGAGCCAGCCAGCTAACCAATCAGAGCAGACTGGGGGTGTTTCTCAATGTCGAGTACGCTTGCTTGGTAGCACATGTCTTCCGAGTCACTTGCTTCAGCAGCGAGGCAAGAATACTTCCTGGCATTCGGAAAGCGAAGAGTGGAACAGGCTAGCAAGTGTGCAGGTGTGCGTCATATGAGAGGCCCCGTCTTACATTTTCCGCCACAGATTTGGGGAAATTGGTCCGTGCGCAAAGCATTGTGGGGATTTTAAGACCGCGGAGTCTACACATGTGCAGCCTCGAAATTTCTCGCTACGAAGGACGCCGGGCTCGGTAGAATTCCAAGTATGCTGGACATTGGAACAGTCCTTCGGCGGGACTCGATGACGTAGTATGCTTTAAATAGTGGCTCTGGAGCAGCTTTACTCTACAATTGAGAAACACCCTGTGCTCTGGTTTCAGACAGAGGGTGAAAAGAGGTGCTGCAGCACAGGCAGAAGGAGACAATAAAGAGCTTTTTGAATATTAAAGCATGGAGACATGTCCCAGTAGAGACACTACATACAAATATGATCCTGAAAATGAGCAGAATGTGTCCTCTTTAAAGAATGGACTTGAACAAAATCCAATACCAGTCCCACAGCAAGTTAAATACGTGTATTGATTTTCCTTTAAACCCTTTCGATGTGTGCCTCTGGGGTCTTCTTTCCACCATTATCTTAAAATGTTGCACCACCTCTTGTAAAAGCAAATGTGGCTTTACAATTTCTACATTTCAGCAGCTAAATTGCATCACACTGTGTCCCGTGAGGAAGTGAATTTGAGTTGACCCCAAACCCTTAGCCTACTCTTAAATTAATGAAAGTGTAATAAAAAATGAGTTAAATCGTAAATCACTTTAATCATCCTTTAATGAATCAGGCGGGGGATTTTTTGGCAGCAAGGGAGGGAGAGAGGGAGAGAGGGAGAGAGGGAGAGAGGGAGAGAGGGAGGTTCCGCTTCGATGGGAAAACACCGAGTTAGCACCAGGTTTAGCCAAATATAGCTCCAGTAGACTCACAGTAAATTATTAATTGTGTGTGTGTGTAATATTATTATAAGCCAGATCCAGAGCAATGCAAAAACAGTTTCAAATACTTTTCAC